GCCCCAAAACATCCTCCCTAGCCCTAAATCACCCCAGTCCCGGACTCAAACACCCTCTGACCCCAAAAAAACCCTCTCCCGATACACTCCACTGATCCCAAAACATCTCCCCCAGCCCTAAATGACCCCATCCCTTGGCCTCAAACACCCTCTGTCCCCAAAATACTCCACCGATGCTGAAACGTCCCCCCAGCCCCAAATCATCCCACCCCTAAATCACCCCAGCCCCGGACTCAAACACCCTCTGACCTCAAAACACTCCCCAGTTCCAAAACACTCCCCAGCCCCAAAGCACCCCCAACCCTAAAACATCCCCCCAGCCCCAAAACATCTCTCCCAGCCCCAAATCACCCCACCCTTGGCCTCAAACACCCTCTGACCCCAAAACACTCCACTGATCCTGAAACATCCCCCCAGCCCCAAATAATCCCAGCCCTAAATCACCCCAGCCCTGGCCTCAAACACCCTCTGACCCCAAAACACTCCCCAGTCCCAAAACACCCCCAGCCCCAAAACATCCTCCCTAACACCAAATCACCCCACCCTTGGCATCAAACACCCTCTGACCCCAGTCCCAAAGCATCCCCAACCCTAAAACATCCCACCCAGCCCCAAAACATCCCCCCCAGTCCCAAAACACTCCTACAGCCCTCCAAAATAAGCCTGCCCCCAAAAGATCCTCCAGTGCCAAAACTTACCCCCAACCCCAAAACATTCCTTAGCTCTGAAACAGCCCCCTGACCCCAATATATTCCCTGGCCCTGCCTGCACCCCCAGCCAGGGACACCCCAACCCATGGTGGCAAAGAGGCTTTGGGGTTACCCAGGGATGTTTTCAGCCACACATGCTCCTACAGACCCCAATAATGGCGCCAGCCACCAAATCCTAAATCCCAATCAGTGCAAAACCTCATCCCCCAAATCTGTGCCCCAAGAGATGCAAAGCCTCAAACAGCAAACCCCGCTTGAATCTTCAACCCCAAATGCAGCCAAMCTCCAAATGTCAATTTTCTGCCCCAAATGGTGCAAATCTCCCAAATCTTAAACCTCAAATCCTACCCGAGAGGTCCCTGTGCCTGGGGGTGCCTCTCCCATCCTTGGGGTGCCATCTCCAACCCCAAATTGTGGGGGGTTGTGCGGTGKGGGGMACATACAGGGKTTTTTTKGGGTTTTCTCCCTTTCTGGGTTAACATCTTGCTCTGACACGGGGGTGTCTCCCTGGCACCTCCAAATAAAGGCCCTTTGTGTRGTGTTTGGGGGGGACAGAGGCATTTCCCGAAGCCAGCAGGAGGGTCCCTGGAGATGCCAGGGCTCGGGAATGTGGGAATGTGGCCGCAGCAGCTGCCTGCAGGAATTTCCCCTAAATACAGACCTTCCTGAGCTGAGGCAGCTGGAAGCAAAACCCAGCRTGAGTTTGGGGAAGCGTTAACTCTTGCAGGGTTGGGGGGATCTTCCTGTCACCCCAGTGTCCCCAGTGTCCCCTGCAGCCCCTCCTGCATGTCCCATCTGCCTTCCCCTGCACCCCCAATCCCATCAGCACTGACCCCACACCCCCTCCTGCACCTCCACTATCCCCACTCCATCTCCAGCATCTCCACCTGCATTTCCAACACCCTGTCCCTGCATTTCCAGTATCCCTCCCTGCACCTTCAGGCTGCTCCCTCTCGCTCCAGTAACCCTCCATTCCCAGTATCCCCCATGGTTCCATCCCAGTATCCCCCAGGCTCCATCCCAGTATCCCC